TGCTGTTTCCATGTACTCCGTGGTTAACCCTAATTATAGCAAGTTTATAGCAATGCCTAGTTATGAAACATAATGTCGATATCAATTAAATGTCACATCCCTATCTGTAGATTATCAGATTGTCAACTTTTTGCTTTTATGTGACTAGTAATAATAAAACCTTATTAAATCGAAATAAGTTTCAATTTTTGTTACCAAAAGTTTTTTATTATTGTCAATTTTCGTTTCATAATTTATAACCAATCAAAATTATTATGTTATCGTAGTACTAATGTAAGATTACGTTTTCAAATGTGTGCGTGTGGCGACACCGGTTTTGATACAAAAGTTGCTTGATGCCATTTCCATTCTTTTCTTTCTTCCGTGGTACGAACATTGGCAAATTCAGTTTGAAGCAAACAGTTAGACTTATGAATATTGGACTTTTTGTGGGAGGAATATTTTTTAACATACAAATTACACAGCTGGCAGAAAAACACTGTATTGAAATTTGTATTTATTACTTGGTGTAACGGGCTGGTGTCCGCAACTCTACGTCAAGGCGCCTATTTTGCGCCTATTTGTATTATAATGAATATTAGGTGTAGTATAGATTTCTTATTGAGGTTTATGTATGTTATCTACAAAGTAGATTCTGAAAACAAAACACGCAATTAAAGTAATTAAAATAGTTATGTGTATCCCATCTATATGCCTAGATTAAATGAATGCACTCGTATGTTGAAAATATATTGCACTATGCGATAGAAAGTAATATAAAGTTAAATGTAAATGTCCATTCAAACAGTGTGTTTGTTTTGTAATATATATGTACAAAGTAGATTCTGAAAAAAACACACATTTAAATTAATTAAATTAGATACCGCCTACGTGTCTTCACAAAATGAGTATACTCGTATATTGAATGCAAATGTTTTTAAATCAATAATAAGTCACCTCAGAATCTAAAAATAGACGGGCCTTTCGTTTTCTAGGAGCAGTCGCCACTGGAACTAAAGCTGTCGATCCACGACCAGTCTCCGATACAGAGTCGCTCTCAATAATGCGTTTTTTTCGGCTTCGAAGCTTTAGCAGGCCTGCTCCGTTTTTTCTTCTGCGCCTGAACTTGGGAAGTAGAGGGCTGGACTTCAGCATCCTATTCAAAGGGATTAGAAAACCTGAAACAGAAATTAATTGTTTTTATAATAGTGTAACATTTATACTAAAATAATCAAGACATTATTAACTCCCTGATATACAAAGCAAAACAACGTAAATTATACAATTATCTTGACTGCTATGTTGCCAGACGCGCAAAGAGCCGAAATGAATAAATAAGTTACGCACATACTTAGGTAACTCCTTGATGATATTCATGACCACCAGCAAAAGAACACTTCACTATGTAAAATAACTTAAAATGCTCGGCTCAGGCTGTTATATACCCTCCAATTGCAAGGGCGCTGTTTACACCGCATATAATTTAACAACAGCGTTATTTTAATAATGGATATTGAGTTTTATTAGAGTCAATCATACGACCTATTATTGCTAGTTACATATTAGAATTAAACACCTAAGTGTGAATGCAGACTTTACATAGATTTTGGAGACAAGTCTACACCGACGACGCTTTGTCGCTGCTACTTGACACCTAATCTGTATTTGGTAGGTGTATGTACTTGTAAATATTTTTTAAATATTTAACACAATCGTTTTTTAGTTAGTTTTTTAAGTTTATCAGTATTTACTAAGAATGAAACAAATATTGGTCTTCATATCAAAAGCAATGTATTTTACTTTTATACATTTCAATTGTTAAAATCTTAGCAATAATAAGCCAAAATCGGTAGTTTAATAACAAAACATGATTTGTCAAGCAAGACAATTATCTTGTTTATTATTGTAATATTTGCTATTGAGTTTAAGTTCATTTTTTATTATGGTTCTATGCCCAACAGTCAGGCTGTACTCTATTTAATAGTTCAGAAATATTTAATTTTTTCTCTCGCTTTTTTTATAATAAGTACGTTTACTTTTTAAATTTTATTAATGCTAATTTTTAAGTCCCAGCGACTTAAATATGTGCCAATTTGACAGTTTGTTTTTCCTATAACTTTGTATGGGGAAATATCATCATTTCACACGTCCACTGCTGGGCATAGGCGCATGGGGAAATACGTTACGTAGAAAACATTATTTTTCTTAAAACACCGCAACAAAATCAATTAAAACAATTATTTAAAGACGAAAATATCCTGAAATAATCAAGAAACCACTAAATTTCAATGTAAAAAAACCGTACAAGACTGGTTAAAAAGAATTAACTATAATGACACTGAAAATTTTATATCAGTTTTTAAGTAATATAATTATAATTAAGATTTATGTATTATTGTAATTTATTGTTATTGAACAAAATATGTTGACTAACCGTTATGCTATAATCACCAATTTAGATACCTAAGACACAAGTAAACAATTTTACTTAGTTTAGGTATCACCTAGATTAATTTGCACTACTAACCTTAATTAAAGTAATGTAAACATAAAATAATTTCATTGTTTGCGACAATTTGGCGCATATATGTAAATAATAGGTTATTTAATAAGATTTATGTATGTATTTAGGTTAATATTTTACACAGAAATAAATTTATCTTTATCTTATCTTTATCTTTATCTTATCTTTAAATATTCGAATCCGGTTATTATTAATCTAATAAATATAATTGAAGAAATAGAGGCATCAAGTTTAATGCCTGTAATTTATTAGACTACTAGATCAAATGAGGTCCTCCATTTTGATTTAGAATGAGCTGAAAATAAAGTATTCTAAATATTATTTTTAACACATCTAGTATTTTCGAGATGACTCTAGACTAGAGAATTCCCCATATTATATGTGCATCAGACAATGAGGAAGCAAGAGGCATCGTCCTAATACTTTCTACACCGCTTCAGTTTAGAAAAGACCGTAAGTTCAAATGACCCTTACCAGGAATCGAAAGTGAAACTTTTCACGTTGTAAATTTATAAACTTTCACTACAGCGTGGGCTGAGGTCATTAATAGGTAGGTAGTTAAACTGTATTCCATACCATTTAAATATCTATATCATTAACATCACCCTTTCCATTAAAATTATTAGATAAATCCTCATCTCAAAGTAACCAGAAATATTACAGACAATTATAGCCGATAATATTTCAACTTAATAATAATAATAATAATAAATATCTTTATTTAAATCCACAACACAATACAAAGAAACGTTACAATTACAGTAAATATACATTATTACGTAAGCTTAGAGTAATGTATTGTGGGAGACTGGAGCCCAAACTAAGCAGAGCTTGTAATATGGGTCTCCAGGCACCCAACCCCTAGGATAGTCATGTTAGTAGTAATGACGAAATACAAAGTACTGAGGAGGAAGTAAAAAATAAGTAAAACAAATTATGTGTGCGCGCGTGAGCGCGTGAGTGAGTGAGTGAGTGTGTCTGAGTGTGTGAGTGATTGTGTGTCTGTGTGTGCGTGTGTGTGCGTGTGTGTTTGTGAGTGTGGAAGTGTGAAGTTATTTGACGACTTTTAGTAGATTTTCAGTCTCATCATAGTTAAGGAGCAAGAGATATCTGGTCAATTTTAGTTTGCATTCGATTGTTTAATTCCATTGCAATTCCAAACAAGATACTATTTTGTCTTAAAGCTAGCATAATGTTAGTATGGTAATCGAGCTCGCAACCATTATGCATCGCAATGAGCACTGAATCATTGTATTGTAATCAATTCAAATAAATCCGAAAGAATGATGGTATTGTAATACACTTCAACTAGAATTTAAGAACGCTCATTACCATTACTAAACTGTAGCGATAACCGTACTCGAGGTACTGCAACGCCTGCGCTTAATTGCATAGGTAATAAATACAAAATCTATAGAATGGTCCAGAAAAAAACATTATAGTTCGGCTAAGATAATTTGCCGTCAAAGGACTGCTTTAATTTGTAATAATAATAATTCATTTATTTGTGAAAACACAGGTTAGATATGCAAGTTGACATGTACAAAATGAGTAGGTATAGTTTCACTGTGTCCGGCCAAACATTTGGCATACAAACATATTGAAAGTATATTTGGTATACGATATTATAATACAAACATAATTACCGGTATTGACAATATAATATCTAGTGAATATAATAAAAACAAATTAACTCATTCCAACAATTAAATTACAAAAGTCAAGCGGCTTTGTCAGGTGAAAAAGATTGTTATAGTGTCATTTAAGAATTCGTTGATGTCATAGTAACATTTATCTATTAATAAATTGCTCGACACATTTTGGAACTTATGCGTTTCAAGTGATTTTATACGATCAGGAATTTTATTGTATATGACCGGTGCGAGTTGAACAACACTCTTTCTAAGAAGAGCTGTTTTGCAGATCTTTGTGCTTAATAAATGTGGTCTAGGACGTAAATAACGATTTTGTACCGTCGGTCTAACTGAGAAGAAATTTGAGTTCATTTTGACAAATCTAGACATTCACAATACATTAACCGAACAGTTGTGAACAATTGTGTTTCACAATACATTAACCGAACAGACGCTGTGAAACACATGCGCGTTGTAAGTAAAAAAATAGCGTTTATATTTATAAGGACGGCACCGAGCGTATGATGATTCATTTTATTTGTGAATCAAAATCCTATATCACACATGTGTAATGTAGGATCCCCAATTATACCCTACTTCTAGCATAGAGATCCTGTGCTTTACGTCGCTCTCGCGCAAGTCGTGCCCTGTTGTGCTAGCACTACAGAGATGTATTTATAAAACCACATGGCGCGCTGATGGCGTCATAGATGTAAATTTACATTGTCTATCCACTTGATGGTTTTTTACGCATTGAAATTGAACAGACTTAACATGATTCATCAGTGTGTTCGAAAATTTCGCGTCAGTAACACGAATGAGCAGAATTGTTCTGTTTTTTTTTGTTTTTCAACGTAAATATCATAATTAATTCTTAAGAAATAGACAAATTTCGGACGGCTTGTTTTTCAATACGCAATTAAAATGATTATAGAAATATTAGTGTTCATCTTAACATTTATTATCGGGTACTTCTTTTATCTTCATAAACTAGCGGAAGACACGTTTAGAAAATGGGACGTGAAGTTCGTGCCATGTTGGCCTATTTTCGGCAATGCTTATAACAGTGCTGTTATGAAGAAACACGTATTAGAGGACCTCGATGCCGTTTACAGAGCTTTCCCGAATGAGAAGTGAGTATATACGCTTTAAAACAAACACAACAAACGAGTGGACGAAGCGACAGAAGTCCGTCATTTATTGTGAAAACACAGGTTTCATTGTAATTAACATGTAACAAAGTAAGTACAGCTTCACTGTGCCCGGACAAACGTTAGAGCGATGCCATACGATGCGTAGCATCGGTGCTGCAACGCCTGAGCGGTAACGATGCTCCGTTGTATTACATATATGGGCACAAATTCGCAACGGTGCGTGGTGCTTTCAGCGGCCGTTCAAGGTTTTCACACAAGATACACATGTACGCGCATGCGACCGATGCCACACGAGCGTTGCGTCGCACAGTGCCTGCATTTCGACAATTTTACATACACAGTTTTATCAAAGACATCAAAACATAGAACAATCTTTTACCCACAAGTTTTTAATGTCATAAAAATACAAGTTCGGACATTTTGAATGCATGACAATAATCTCAGTACTAAAAAACCGACTTCAAAAGTCATTCATCCCCTAAGTAGTTCAAAGCGGTTCTTCAAATTTAAATAGGACCACTTCTGAGGTACCTTCTTTCAATCAAAAAAAGAATCAAAAAATCAAATCAAAAAAAGAGTTATCGCGTAACATAAATACAAAAAAAACGTACAGTCGAGTTAAGAAACTCTTCCTTTTTTTGAAGTCGGTCAAAAAATAAAATGTGTTTTCCTCATAATTTTTTTGGTCTTGTACGGTAAGGCTGAACTTTTAGGTGTTGATACATAGTCTGTGACAAAGCCTTATGACTTTTGACCTTGACCCCGACCGTCCCCGCTCAAAAGATACAAATTAAATTGTCAATGGGAGTAATGTGCCTCAAGGATCAGTTTATGAAAAATTGGTTTAGTCAGTATTGTTACCTGATAAACAACAACTCCATATGACCTTTGACCTTGATCCCGAACGATTCCGTTCAAACGAAATGAATTAATTAAAAGTACATATTTGGGCGATATTGTCAAAGGGGGTAATGTGGCTCAAGAATATTAATATATAAATCGCAAAGATCTGAGGGGCAACGAAGCATTCTGAGTCTGATTAGTATTTAAAAAAAAGATACTTATTTTGCAAATCGTGCGAAACTTAAATAAGAATAATTTATGTTTTTTGACAAATTAAATAATGAAAATTTAAAAATAAATTGTTGGGATTAAATAAAAGATACAGTATTGACGAAATGTATATAAATGTATTTGAGAGAAAACTTAAGAAAAGCAACCAGTTTCGGCCATTACATTGAACGAAGAGAGAGCAGTGTTGTCAGTACAAAAAACTACTAATTACATTGCCATATTTCAACATAAATGATAAATTGATAACATTTAAATTAATAATTTAATAAATATAGTTCAAGATAAGATGGTTTACATTAAAATTAGACTTAACTGGTTGATCACCAATGCCAATCTGAGGATCGTATTCCAGAACTGTACTCAATGCTCAAGTCAGGATTTGAGCAGACTTGAGTATGATTTCAAGCACTGGAAATACGACCCTAATGGCAAGGAATTGAGTATGATTTCTAGTGCTTTGAATCATGCTCAAGTCCTGACTTGAGCATTAAGTAGAGTTCTAGAATATGACCCTCAGTCAACCGTGATCATAGGCTTTGTATACATAATCGTACAAGCCTATTTTTTATTTGTACATAACAACTTGATTAACATTACAGGCAAAACCTAATTCGTTAGAGCAGGCACATAAATACATTAAGTTAAGAATCATAACATATTATATGTAAGGCAACCTTTTTGAATTCACTCAAGGTGCAATAAAATAAACAAATTGTATCGGCTACTCGATTTAGAGAGGCGAGGTCACGCGTGAATGGTGTTCGGGTCAGCAACTGAGTCCGCGCGCGCGGTATCGCTACAGTGCCTCCGCCCCGTGTACTTGTCAGGAGCGTACAACTTTACTTGTTCCAATACACCAGGACTGCACTACTTGCCCCGTAGCAATTCAAAAATATACGTAACTAGCGCCATGTCACGCCTTACTTCCAGTTTATTGTACCCCACCATACCTAGGACGAACAACGTCGGGTACATTAAATGGTAATAGGGGTAAACTGCATATAATTTTAGGTACAATCTGGTAAATTTATTTTGTATTTTCTCCAGCATAGCTTCATACTTGGCTTCCTGCGGTGCTCAGACTACCGCGTTACCCTCCAACGTGCTTCTTACTAGAGTTTTGTAGAGGGCGCATATAGCTTTGGCGTTGTTAAAATTCTCCGCTCTGCGTAGTATAAAACCCACCCTCCTGTAAACTTTCTTACAAACATTCACAACATGATACGAAAAATTCATTCAGCGTCTATATCTACTCCCAAGTCACGAACTATCGTTAGCCTTTTAAGCCTCATAGCCGTAATGAATAGGGGCTTTTTTTTCGACCATATGTTATCACATTTAGATATATTGAACGATATCTGAAATTTACTTAAAGGTCCCGACTAAACATTTACGCAATGAATCAATTATTTATTTGCCTGTAGCTTTACAAAATTACAAACGCAATTCATTTATATGGCGTGCGAGCAAAAACTTTAACAAACTTTCTGCCATCTACGATTTTGACTTATTTAACACTAGCTGTGCGTGTGTTAAGAAACATTTAACTAATTCATTTTTATGAATACAGTGAGTTGGCGGGTTTGAGTGGTGATACATTACATTACATTATTTGTATAGTGTGAAGAGTATGTGTGTGTGTGTTATGTTATATTTATATTGTTAATGTTAATGTTATATTGTCTTACTGTTATCAATGCATCAAATATTATTGTATTTTTATCAGGAGGGAACTGTTTTGCTTCAAATTATTTAATTAAGTCTCTATTTTATTGTAATATAAGCTGTTTGTGCCCTCCAAAATATAAATAAATAAATAAATAGATAGCTTGTTTGGCTCCAAGCTAAAGCCGTAATTGACAAAGAGAGTGTACAAATTACTTAAGAAATGCTCTCTTTCAGGTATGTAGGCTACATCGAGGCCACACAGCCGATATTCCTGGTGCGCGACCCCGAGCTGATCAAGACCATCACGGTGAAGCATTTCGATTACTTCATGGACCACAAGCAGCTGTTTCCCACGGATATCGAGCCTATACTCGCGGGAAGTATACTCATGATGGAAGGTAAATATATTTTTCACGTCACTCGCTTGGAAAGGCTTTCTCATTAGAAATCTGCGCGCAAAAGCGTTTTTTGCACGCTAGCGTGGTGCACCTAACTTTTTCTTTCTACTACTGCGCGATTTGTCGTACATTAACTTATTTAAATAATATAAATCTGTTGGTATATTTTATTCTTATTATTGTTGACATTAGATGGACAATAATAACTAATTGTGTTTATTAAATTATTTCAATTCGTCGAAGAAGTGAAAAGTTGTGTTAGGCTATTGCCTTAAACTAGTGTAAGGGTCGTATTCCAGAACTCTCCTCAATACTCAAGTCAGGACTTGAGTCTTGCAGTGAGCACTGAAAATCATACTCAAGTCCTTGCCATTAGAGTCGTATTTCCAGTGCTTGAAATCATACTCAAGTCTGCTCAAATCCTGACTTGAGCATTGAGTAGAGTTCTGGAATACGACCCTAAGTGTCATACGATCTCCAGGCGTGCGTGGAGCGCTTGCGCCTAAAAAGCCGCACATCCGGCAGTAGTCACAAAACGCGTGACCTTGAACGGAACCTTGGCCTGACGTCATACCTGTTGATTAAGCATGACAGCACAAATTACAATTTATGATGATGATGATCTAAATTATGTTGTTATTTATTTAACCGATCTAAATTTGTCCATATTTTTTTGCGTCTATGTCACATGATTACTCCGACATTTTGTGAATTGATTTCGGTTACTCTTTTTTTATTGGCAATTCCCATTTAACCAAATACAAAGACACGACGCAAGCACATAGAAAAATTCGTTGGGTCCGTTGGTTCGTTCCGTGGCTTAGTTGGTATAGCGTCTGGCACGGTATGCAAGAAGACGTCGGTTCGAATCCGACCGGATAGAAGGAATTTTTTCTGAGTGTTCGATCTTTGTATTAATAATTATAACAAACTAGTGGAGTAATTTCACAAAAAATAATTGAATATCAATTCAATAAAAATTTAAAATTCCCATTTAAATTTGAATAAAATATTCCACCTCTAAGTGTGGCAAATTAAGGGATAAATCTGGTTTATTGAATTCCACCCAATTGCTGTTAACCGATATCACTAAATTTTGACACATAGAATGTCATAGTGGGAGTCTCTATGGGTGTTTTTCGATATAAATGACTGTTGAAAAAACTTGCTTTGCTCGGGCTGAAAATTGACACGAAAAGATTTCTAGGATTGCCTGATAATTTGTAATTAGTGGTCAAAATATATTTTTGCATATTTAAACATGGCCACCATTAAAGACCTATTTTAATTCTTATAAACAAAGTGCCGAGGTCGTCGGCAGATTACCTACTAAGAAAAATAATTAAAAAAACAGAGGAGTCGCGTAACTTCTGGAGAAGTGTTGAAAAAGCCAATGTCGTGCTGCTTCGCTCACTCGAATGAAGAAGGAATTTCGTCTATAGTTTATATTCACCAAAGGAACAAGAAGTATGCTAGGGTGTCGAAATTAAGCCACTGGAACACGGAGTGAAATCCTTTAATGTGGTACTCATAGTACAGGGAATTGCGTAATTTGAGATCAGGCAATTGGTGTATTTGTCTAGCACATTAAATATATCAAGAATGATAAAAAATGTGTCAAGATCTCTTTATTACATCGCATTTTTGTTAAACGTTTATGTTTTTAATTCAAAGTTTATTCAGCCTCAAATGGCTTTGGTTTTTTCCGCAAAATAGTGAAAGTGTTGAATCAAATCACTTTGGAAAATATATACTGTAAAAAAAAATTTCACGATGGAAAAAACAAGCAGAAACTCGAACCTTTACACATCGAAATTTTACAAGAAAACTACTTACTTACTTACGGTACTTTACTTATACCAATGATTTTTTTATATCAACGGACACGTATACGATATATATTTTTCAAACAGCTGTAATATCATTTGTAAAAAAAATAAATTCTGAAATAAAGCCGGTGTCCCTGTCACTCGACATAAGCAAAATGTAATGTAGCTGAGGTAATATCGACTCTTAAGCACTGGTAGAAGTTCGTTTTCAATAAACTTAAGTCTAATCATTTAATCTCAAGTGGTATTTTATTATGTATGTTAACTATGCTGTAGCAGTCATGGGAATATTATTATTGTGTAATTTGTTGTATTGTGTCCCACTGCTGTGCAAAGGCCTCTCTTCTCGACTTCCACAGCCCACGGTTTGGCCAGTCCCTAATATACGCGTCCAAGTCTTTTAAGTAGTCCGTCTCGGAAGTAGTTTCTTGATCTGCTGCGTCGTCGTTACCCATTCTCCGTCATCCTTCAAGTGGCTGCATGAGCCCATTCCCTGGGTACATACGACAGATGTAACCAGTCCAGACCAATTTCAGCTTGGCAGTCCTTTTCCATTTCCATTATCTTTTCCTACATTTTAACTAACTGAATAATGAAACAATTTAGAAACACGAACGCTGCTAGTGTAAGCTCTAGTTAAATGATTCCCAAAGTGGTTTCTATCGACTCTCAGGGTTGAACTGCAACCAGCAAGGGGTCCATGTCAACGGAAAAAAAATTCATATAAACAAAGCCATACATGTCCTAGAATCAAGGACCATAAAACCAAGACGTAATGTTCCAAAGGCTTATAACATATATGCAATGATATTATACATATATGCATATGATTCTAGTCTAACAAAATTGTGATGAAGAAAATTAGCTTTTACAGATTTTGTTTTTTTATCAGTAATAATACATGTTGTATAAGTCAGAAACACACACATAAGTATGTTCAAATATTGTCATTAATAAAACACGAATTTTGCGCATATTTTGTATTTTATTTCACGAGTCTAATTTGGGGTGTTGTACACCCCACGCTACTTTTTTAGCGCGACTAATTAAGATGATAATTTATGATTAGATAAATGTATGAAGTTCTTTTAAAATTTTCACTCAATACTTAAAGCTATCACAGGTTAGCTGTCAAAACCACGTTTGAAGTTGATGACTTTACAATAATTCAGAATTCCGAAGACAAGGGATCTAGCCAAATCAGAAAACATTTAAGTGTAGTCTACTAGTCAAAAAGGTTTGGGAACCTCTGCTATATTAGAACGTACACTCCTGTTTATTCAGATGACCTCGCAATCAAGCCAATATTCGCTCCGCGTTGATTGCTACTGACTGATTAAACGTAGAAAGTAAACGGTAACAGATCCTGTGCCCAGTAGTTTGCGAGGCATACCTAGTTTTGTAGCTTGTCGTAATTAAGCTTTAGTTTCTGAAACGATTACCCGAAACCCTGTATAGTTAAGTGATCGTTAATGAAACTCTTGTAAAGGACAAATATTTCAACTCTGTAGAAATAAATATTTACTGACCAAAATATCTATCTGAGACCATCTTATTATTGTTTTTCAAATGATTGCGTACCTTTGATATAATAAGGTCACGTGTCATACGTCAAAGTACTTTTACCACATGAAAGACATAAATATAATACGACCTACATTACTCATCAACGTCCTGATTTCACCGACTGTTTCTTCTTCTTGTCGAGTCAATAACAAAAACCAACAAAAAACCAGTGTTATATTACTTTAGCCCACTAAGCAGCAGTAAGCAACCTCTATGCCCCTATTCGTTCCTTTTAACATGTCTTCTCGGGTGCAGCTGGTCAGACATTGTCGGGTATAGGCCTCCCGAAGTTTGTGCCATCCACCACGGTCCTGTGCTAGCCGCTAACTACAGCTACAGCTCCTCTGTACTTGGATGACAAAAATCCGTGGTCACTACCCCCCTAAATGGGCTCTAGTAGCCATGGTTGATTTCTTCCCACGGTGAAGCTATGAGGAACTCACGGGCCGGCTGATGGAGCTAGGCTGGCCCGCGGAGGAGAGTGTACCGCGCGGGCTCGTCTTTATCTAGGCCGAGCGGGTCCGCGCAGACACATGCGGGAAGGAGGGTCGCGGGGGAAGAGACTTGTCGTATCATGTGTCGCGTACCCGTGCTTCTACCTGCAGCGAAGAAACATCCCTGCCCCTGCAGGGCCTGGGGATCTGTAAGCAGATTCCCTCGGGTAATAAAAAAAGATGTATAAATTAAATATTGTACTGATAAATTTATATTTATAAAGAGCAACTCAACCCCTAAAGTTTCTTGCTCGTTCTTCTCACCAGAATCTGCCTTACGGATGAGTAGTAGAGTTAAATCAGTATGACGATTTCAAATATAATTTGCTTACTTATGCAATAAATTATTTTACTTTAACTTTGCATCCATTGACGCCCCGAGATGCGTACAATGTCGTCGGTGTCAACGTGGGTAGTACCTTCTAACACCCGACATTTCTTTTCCCATCCTCGGCCACAAATCAGTCGATATCTTGCTCCACCTGTCATCACCTCGCCTTGCTACGTGTCCCGCCCAACTCCATTTGAGTTCCATGGTCCGAGTTCCAGCATCCTGGACTACTATCGTCGGATCTCAACATTTGGAACTCGATCTACAATGCGCTCTATGGCTAAAAAGTTATCGACTAATTTTGATCCTAGAATCTTTAAGTCTCTATCCAAAAATGTTCAGTTTACAGATATGACCTTATTATTAAACCAAGGATCACATATATGCAAAAACCTACTATCTATATATGACCGACGATGTTATGTGTGTGTCATAATAGATACCTATTCAATTTGGCCATGACTATTCAAGAATAGAAACACAGATTATTATTAGGCGGTAGTGCATTCCATTCCTTGACCGTCATCTGCTGGAGTGTGTACCTAAATCTAATGTAAATGTAGAATCTGATATCTGAATAAAAGATTAGTTCGTGATACGTTTTATTAAAGTTCTCAGTTATCAAGTTCTTAGTTTTCGCGATTGTTGCGCATAGGAAATGAAATTATTTTTGTCGCATAAACGATAACTCCGACCGTGAACCGATTTTGATGATTTTTTTTTTTGTTGGGAAGAGAGTACCTCAATATTGGTCCCATTGAAATTTGAAGGAAATATTCCACCTCTAAGAATGGCAAACTAGGGGATGCATCCGGTTTCGAGCACTTTCCGGTAATCAATTTCAAAAAAACTTGGCAAATTGATGAAGTTCCACGAACTTTTATGGTCAGTTTTTATTTATGAAATAAATTGACGGGCCGAACAAGTCGTGCGCCTATCCATATCAGTTGCAGTACCACTCAGACGTTTAAATCGCAAAGACCTGAGACACAAAGTTGACAAGTCCCATGTGTAGTTTTACTTGCACCCTGTCAACCTGGAATGCAGTATAGCTCTTATTACCGTTTAGCGGCAGAAATAGATAAGGTGGCAGGCAGTACTTGCCTGGACGTAGATACTCTTTCACAAGGAGGTTTACTGCTACGAAATTCTCTAACATCCCGATCAAATAGACTACCTAATGATTACTAATTTCAAATGTTCATCCTTTGCTAATGAATCCTTAAAAACCTTTACAAATTGTATTAGCTTTGACTTGACAACTCTCTTTCATAGATAAAGCTGTAAAATAAACAAATAATGTACTTCGATACAGATTTAGGTATGGGTTCGGGTTTGAATTTTGGTTTAAATTTCAATTTCAATTTGACTACACATTTGATGTGAATATTTTAATTAATATTATTTATTTGTATTGGAATAGTTATAATTGCAAATTTAATGTATGTATGCGTTAATACGTCTTCTTTATATACATATAAGCATGTAATTTCAAATACAAATAGCTAAATGAAATAATGTAGTTGCAGTAATTATTACAATGTAACAGCGTCCACTGGTGTCGCCATGTCGCCGTCATATTTTGTACAATAGTTCCCGAAATATATATTTTTATTACTTATTACAAATATGCAAAAATAAAAAAAAACTCTTCAATTTTAAGTAAACCCCAAATTCCTATGACCTTATTAATGGGTGATAAATAGGTAATTATTCTATTCCGAAAGGCGGTAATGTAAATGGAACCTTATTAGCAGACTCGTACATACAAATCAGAGGAGCTTGTATTAAACCAACATTGTCACGTTATGGTAGCTAATTGTTATAACTGCACTTTAAAAAGGACATTACTATGTTCTAATCTTGTCGAGAAATAATCTACAAACTTTTAACGTAGCACAAGTAATTACTTTGTGTATTAAAGCGATAAGAACTGATTGAAGTATCGCAAGATTTTTATTAAATTTGTTAAATAAAATAAACGTAAAGTAAAAGAATAAAATTCTCATTGTTCCAGGTGAAAAATGGCGCGACATGCGAATGACCCTCAGTCCGGCGTTCACTGGCTCCAAGATGCGACACATGATGCCTTTTATGGCCGAGATCAGCCAGAACATCATCACGTATTTGAATGGTAGCTGCTTTACTTTTTTATATGTATAAAATAGATTAGAAAAAGAATGTAGGGAGTTAGAAGAAGGTGTTAAGAATAGTACAAGAAAAAGATAAGTTTCTTAAAGAAAATAGAGAACCGTAGGGAAAGATCTTTGAGCACCATATAAGGCACGACAATTTTCTTAGAAACATCTTAAAAAAAAAGATCGAAGGAAAGAGAGGCAGAACACGACCAATACGAAGAGATTTAGATCAAACAAGGGAAAAATTAATGTCATGTCGATGGTTATCGATTATTGCACTGACAAAAGCCTAGTTCATTAGTAAAAAGAAGAAAGAGATAAACGGTTGGCAACAATGTGACCGACAGTGGTAAACGTATGTCTAAAAAAGATGTCTTTGATAGCCTTAAATTGTAGCTTTTGGAGAATACAGATGCCAGTAATGCATTATTTTCCCTTACACTTTAGGAAGGAAAAAGCAAAGGGGTTTGTCCAAGCGAGTGGTGTACCTATAATTTTAGGATGGAGTTTTCCGGACTTTTAAGTAGACTTTAAGAGAAACGATGAAGATGAAACTGAATTAAAACGTTCTTGCGCACACTCTTTAAAATATATCGGGCAGAAAATATACCACCTTTCGGCGGTGGTGTTGAATTCTCTGATGTACAATTTACTTGAAGGGCTGGCTGCTACGTTCCCCAACGCATGAGCATAGCTATACAAGGGGGAACGCTGGCAGCATCTTGGGCACCTTGCCGCGGAGACCCAATTTTATTATACCTTACGTGTAGATATATTTTAATAAAAAATCATTTACTTGTATACCTTAGACAAGTGGGATGAGACATCAGTTTCAAGAGAAAAGTGTAACCAACAAACTAAACGAAATGGTAATGTAAACGCAAGGAAGCTATTCACAAAATTCACATCATCAGCTTACACGCATCCACTGCTGGACATAAGCCTCCCCTAGAGCACGCCAATGCTCGGCGTTCTAGAACAAGTCTGCTCCATCGGCGATCAACCCTCCTTTCTGCAGATATGCCCGGCGCGCTGCCATTTAAGCTTACTGATTTTGCGAGCTATGTCGGTCACTTTAGTTCTCTGACGTATGACCTCATTAGGGATTCGGTCCATCAAAGAAACCCCAAGCATAGCTCGCTCCATCGCACGCTGAGCGACCTTGAATTTGTGGACGAGGCCTGTTGTTAATGTCCACGTCTCAGCTGCGTAGGACATAACTGGTAGAACGCACTGGTTAAATGCCTTAGTTTTTAGCGTTGTGGGATTGACGACCTGAAGATGTGGCTAAGCTTCCCAAATGCCGCCCAGCCCAAATGAATTCTCCTGTCGGCTTCCTTCTCGAAGTTGTGCTTGCCAAGCTGGATATGTTGGTCAAGGTAGACGTAATTGTGCACAACCTCAAGATTAGCCCCACCTACGGTTACAGGTCCCAGGGTCACATGTGCGTTGAACATAACTTTCGTTTTGTCCAGGTTCATCCTGAGACCTGGTCGCTGTGAAGAATCTTGTAAGCTGTTCATCATCTCGCCGGGCTCCTGCAGAGATTCCGCCATAATAACAATTCGAAGGTGTGAGATGTACTGCTCGTTGATGTTGATGCCCCGTCCCTCCTACTCAAGCATCTTGAAGACATTCTCCAATGCGTTAGTGAACAGTTTCGGAGAGATGACGTCTCCCTGTGTCACTCCACGACGCAGTTGAATTGGTCTTGTGTTCTGTCTTTGGACTTGGACGGTCATCGTGGCTACAGCGTAAAGACTTCTCAACACCTCGATGTAACGGCAGTCAATCTGACATCTCCGCAAGGAGTCCAAAACAGCCCAAATTTCGATGGTGTCGAAGGCTTTTTCGTAATCCACATACGCTAGGCACAAGGGTCGGTTATATTCTTCGGTCTTCTGAATAATTTGTCTCAAGTTACGAATGTGGTCTATAATACTGAAGCCTTTTCGAAATCCAGCCTGCTCCGGCGGCTGAAAATCATCGAACTTTCGGACAAGACGATTTGTGATAATCCTCGAGAACAGCTTATATACATGATTCAGGAGCGAGATGAGTCGATAGTTTTTTAGAAGGCTTATATCCCCCTTTTTGAAAAACAGGACCATCACGCTCCCGCTCCATATCTCCGGTATAGGCCAGTGTTAAGAACAAAATTCATTATTCCATAATATTATGTAACATCTTTTAATGATTGAATTGAGGGATTGATGAAATGAGGGAAAATGGCTGCCTGTATTTTCTATTTGCCCCAGAGTTCTATATTGATACATACAACATAATAAAAAATTAAAATAACTAGTGAAAAATCAATTTATCTTCTGTTTTTGCAGAAAATATCAAAGAAAACGAAGACGTAGATGTTGGCAATCTCATCCGTCGGTACACCAATGACGTCATCGCATCGGCCGGTTTCGGCATCGTCGTGGACTCCACCAAGGAAAAAAACAATGACTTCTTTAGGCACGGCCAGGGCCTTTACAATTTTAAAATTGGGCAGAGGATTATGTTCTTTTTTGCCGTCGTAGCACCAAAGATTTTTAAGGTAAGTATCGAAAAAGTTATCTATGGTTTACATTTGTCTTTTACCTTTACGTTAACTTTAGCAAAAAACAAACAAACTAACTATATATATCGAAAATGCTAACTTGTAAAGTATAATGCGAAGTCTTGCTTTTAAGCATATCTAGAAGGAGCAGTAAGCACGTACGTATATAGTAACGATGTATTGTAATATATTTACAGACACTAGGAATCTCGGTGTTCCCTAAGAACACGACCGCATTCTTCAGACAACTAGTGTCATCTACAATCGAATACAGAGAGAAAAATAATGTTGAACGTCCTGACATGATCCAACTGCTTATGCAGGCTTCGAAAGGTTTGTTTCTTAATTTTCTATTGAATTTAATTATGGAAATGAAACTATTGAGTCAATTACAGTTCCCATGTCCCAGTGGGACAATCGTGACCATGGCAAAGAGCCTGAAACGTTGGTTTGGTTGAAAAAATAAATAGTTTCATTTCCTAAGTGTAACAATCGCGAAAACCTAAGAACTCGATATTTAATTACGGAAATTAAATATTTAGGCTATAACGGTAAAGCAGCATTTGATATTTAAGTTAACGAAAGTTATCCCAGACAGGTCAAAGATACCAAGTCTCTTAGTGACTATATTTAAAAACAAATTCACCTTACAGGAAAACTGAAAGCCAACCCTAACGACAACGAAAAGGACAATGTTGGATTCGCTACAGTAGATGAAGCTCTTAAACCACAGCCTATAACTAGAAGTAAGATAACGAGTCGTTTTAAATTAACCAAAGATATTTTTATTACAGAATATCCTTCAGACAGTTTATTATGGTCTCTATAAATAAAAGTGGGTTTGTAGGATAGAGCTTCTCTAATATCCTCGCCTTTTGTTAACAGAATGGTCATCTGATGAATTAACAGGTCAAGTATTCACGTTTTTCGTGGCCGGCTTTGAAAGCACTGGCTCAGTTCTGGTCATGACTGTACACGAATTAGCATTAAACTCAGGAATTCAAGACAAATTGTACCAGGAGATCAGAGAGTTCAAAGAGACGAACAACGCTTTGACGTACGACAACATCGGTGATTTGAAGTATTTGGACTGCGTTTTAAATGGTAAACTTTGTTGATAATTACAAATCCTGATAATTTCCAAGATTTTTATTAGATATTTCTCAAATAACATTTTATTCTGTGTTTTTTTTATCGTGCGATTTCGTCGTTTTTACGATATCAAGTGACGAAATGAACAAGTCGTGCGTCTGATAGTAAACATTACACCTACTTATTCTTAAAAATTGCAATGGCATTCAAAGATGATCTGAAGGACACAACCACTGCGCCCTTCACCTCAAGCACTTTAAACCTTCAAAACCGAAACGCAGTAATGCTCACGTTATTGCTTAGCGACAGAAATAAGTGTGATGGATTGCTTCCCTGGACACATTCCTTCAAAGAGCTTTACTGCTACAAAGTTCTGTGATTTATCGTCAATTACAGAAACATTGAGGAAATGGTCACCTGCAGTGATGCTGCATAGACGTTGTACGACAGCCTATGAACTGCCTCCACCTAGGGAAGGAGGCAAGCCTGTTAAAGTAAGTCAATAAAGTAGTTATTTCCGTCTCAACGTTTGTGTTTTTTTCAGATACTAGGTTTAGCCCTGTTGTAATAATGAGATTCAAGTACCAGTACTTTTGAGACCTAATAGAGCAGATAAGGCATGCATGTCAGCATTAAAGACAGTAGTCTGTAGTCTAGTAGTATGTGTGTATTGAAACTTTATGATTTCTAAACAGTTGAAACCGGGAGACATAGTCTACAACATGGTGAACACCATCCACATGGACGAGCAGTACTGGCCTTACCCGGAGAAGTTTGACCCTGAAAGATTCTCTGACGAGAACAAACATAAAATCAAACCTTTTACCTTTATGCCTTTTGGTACGGGACCTAGGAACTGTATTGGTGAGTATTGTTTTCTTAACTGACAATAATTTCTTTAAGACAAAATATTGCTTTAAAAATTACATGCAGAGTTTATTAGTTCATTGTTATGTTTGTAATCAGACTTAATGAAGGTGAATTATAGTATGATTTTAAAGATTTCAAAAGAATCCAAATTGTAAATAGAAAACTACCGTGAGACTCAGACATAGTAACTAAATTGATGGATTTAAATTGAATTTTTTGCTCGACATGTTTGTGAGCAATCCTGCTTATGACTTTAATACGAATGAAGCAAACAAGGGTAGTTGCTCGTCGCTGCCGCCGGGGCTCCGTTACTCGCTCGAGATTACGCGATAAGTGCCTACCGCTGAATGTATCGCTGGCAGTGCAAGCGCTAAGACAAGTATTTTCATTTACATTACAATCCTTGTACAACCCCAGCATTCGGTTCCGCACAAATGCACGCGACGGGCGAAGTAATTTTCACCTCTCTGAGCGAGTGCTTAGGTTCCTTTTTCCTCGTAGTGAGCGCCTGGTTTCATTTTTCGGATTTAGTAGGCTATTAAATCATAAGTATTTTCGATTTTCTGTGAGTGACGTAGTAACTATTAAATTATCTGTACCGCCGCCTGCGCCCGCACCCGTACTGAGTGACCGGGCTATCAGGGCTTTGGCATGCAGTTTCCGTCGAGTCACTGCCGCGGAATCTCATGATTAAGGACCATGGACTGTTTCGAATAATTCTACTTAAATATGCAACATGTCCCTTAGTTTACCTAATATGTTTGTCTCACGGTGCTTTACTAAATGTTATGCTACATGTGTCTTTTAAACCAGGATCAAGATTCGCAATCTTGGAGCTGAAGGTTCTTCTCTTCGATCTGATCTCCAACTTCAAGATTGTTAAGTCTGAGAAGACCACTGATCCGCTCGTCTTGGAACCTACTGAATTCAGCATTAAAGCTAAAGGAGGCAGTTTTGTTCGATTGGAGAAGAGAGTTTGAATGGCAGGATTCAAAGCGTGGCTGAGTGTTGGAAAGTGTGGACGTATATCGTACTAGAAGTAATATAATAATGCTGCAATATGGTTAATTACTTGTGGTTGATTATTGAGTTGTGTACATTAGTAATTTAAGACTATATTGGAAATTTCTAACAAAACTTAACATTTTATAACATCTTTGTATACACATTTTTTAAATATAATAAATAAAATAATAAATTCTTTATTTTCTCACCTCAGTCCTTCAAAAGGGGTTTGAAAAGGGTCGGCAACGCGCTCGTAACGCCCCTGATGTTACAGGTGTTCATAGGCGACGGTCATCAGGCAAGCCGTATGCTTGTTTGCTGTCTACGTAATATAAAAAAACACAATACAATGAGCATAATAAAAGTACAAACTAAATTATGATAAACATATTGTGGGAAATTGATGCCGAAACTAGGTTCACAGCCTGTATTTCAGGTCACCGGGTCTTCAACTCTCGGGAATACATTTCTATGGAAAGCATAAATGCCACAGACCACGTAAATACTTGTAAATAAATGTAATAACTATATACGCTTTACACAATGCGGCAAGAGTGAAATCTATATTTTTTTCTACTCCTGTCTTATAATTACTTAAACAATATCACAGTGGCCATTGACTAACAAATAAATGGACGACGGGTTCAATACAAAAACCACGAAAAAATGTCCCAAGTCAACCTATTTAAACGTAGTGACATGTAAAGGAATATGAAAAAGCTAAAACGTTGAATTTAAATTGTAATGTCATCGCAGTACTGTCTAATTTTGCTTGCTTCGCTGTCAGTCGTACAAACGAAGACTAAAGCGTGAATGACGCTCTGTATACGATTTTAACGCCCTATAAGTTCGGACACTTTTTAGCGCAGACCCGACGTCCATATAATTGTAAGTCAATAACAGTGGCGCTCTTTTTAGTTCTGAATCAAAATTGTATTGTCTATGATGCTCGCTACTGAACCGAAAAATTTCCTTAAAGTTCTGTACACTGTATGTGTTTCAAAAAAAGAACGTCATATTTTTGCTAAATAAAATATCAAATAAGACGTTACTCATAGCGTCATATATCATATATCATATCATAGCGAAACTACTGCCACCTGATTTGTTAAATTGGCCAAAAGGTCTTGCAAACGGAACATAAACCTCTACAAAAATAAAAGAATGGTTAGAATATAAACGGTACTGGTCAGTTCTATTCTGTCTTTGGTTTATTGTTCTGTATCGTTTGTTTGGCTTTCTTTTGAGTATAATATATTAGTCGTGTTTCATTATTTTATTAACCGACTTCAAAAAAAGGCGGAGGTTCTCAATTCGACTGTATGTTTTTTTTTTGTATGTATGTTACGCGATAACTCCGGTATTTGTGAACTAATTTTCATGATTCTTTTTTTGTTGGAAAGAGGGTACCTCCATAGTGGTCTTACTTCATTTTGAAGAAAATCATTACCTCTAAGGGTGGCTGATCACGCATGAACATTCATTTTTATAAATAACGCCCAAATTTTACATAAGGAGCAATTATTTTAAAGGTTAGTTTTGCTATTCTCCAAGTCAAAGCGTTTTTCTCCCTCAATATACTTTGAGTAGTGAGAATCGTTTTTTATTATCTCCTGTGTGAAATCCTGTATAGTGGGGAACTAGGGGACATTTCAATAAAACTTGGCAAGTAGATGTAATTCCACGTACTTTTGAGGGCAGTTTTTTTCGTACTCTGTACTGAGATTATTTACTCGTAGAAGTATTGTATGCAACCATTACATAATTAGGTCTTAAAATCTCCTACCTATTGGGTACTAAACACGGTACTCGTCTTTATGAACCCTCATTATACAACGATTGCGTAAAATACTATTTAATTGATACAAGCTTATAAAGAATTTATACATAAACACCTAAACATCTAGAGTTAAGGGTTAATACTCTTTGGGTGTGTGAAATTAATACAAAGTAGAAAAACTCAAAGAGAATAATCCTTCGATCCAAGATTTTCGCTTAACGCGGACTATCGCTCTCCCTCCTGAGCTACGGAACGAGTCAGCAGACCTTACCAATTTCTCTATATCGCACATGACAACTAACATAGTATTATCTAAAAAATGGTGTTATAATATATTATAACGCAAAAATATATATTTTATCTCAAAATTGCGTTATATTAATAATTTATCTCCAAAATTTCGCTATATTTGTATATTATTCGTATACGATTTAATTTCAATGTGTCAGGACAATACTGTCGCTTTGAAATTAAATAGATAACATTAATATAACTTAAAACAATGTTGAGGTATGCTATGTTGGCTGTCATATGCGACGCTTTCTGCAGATGTTCTTATTGGGTTTTAACGGGTTTATGCCGTAGCGCGACCTGTGAGAAAACTATGAAAGTTTCTTCACTCAGCCAAGACCTTTACAGCTACCAGCAGCTGACAAGAGATGTCGCTTTATTAATTGCAATATTATATATCTTTCGTAAGAGTACTGTACTAATTTGTTGTTTTAATTGATACAAAGGAAAATAATCTAATAAATATACATATTTTTTTTCATAATATCAAGTGACGGGACGAACAGGTCGTGCACCTGACGGTAAGCTACATGCCTGACCACCCAGAACTTTAAATCGCATTGAGATCTGAGGGGACACAAAATATTTAATGTTACTTTCGCTGTCCAGTGTCGAACATGCACAGAGGCTTACATGCGTTCGAGGCCTTGTACAATGATGAGCTACTATTGAGAAAGCATTCTCAGGAGGTTGTGAGGAGACATGGTATGAGAAAGTCATGTATTTAGTTTTGCTAGTATTCAGTGTAAGGGCTGAGTGAGTGCTCTGAGCCACTGGGTTACTGAGTTAAAACCAAATTGGGCTTGTGAAAATGTTTCATTCCAACATGAGGCGCTGAACAATAAGACTGTGTCTCGGCGTAAGATATGATCTTGCCACCAGATAGGAAAAGAGCGCGAAGTTGGTTAATATATACGTATAGCGAATTGCACATCGAACTATGGAGAGAGAGGAGACCCGTGCCGAGCAGTGGAACTTATAAATGGTTTGATGATGAAGTACCAAAACAAAAATGTTCATGCCCGATCTCTAGACACTCATGATACCTGGATTTGTGATACAACCAAAAATTTGTTCTCGAGCCGTGTTATCAATATTGTGAACCTATTCCGACTCAGTCACGGGAGTGCAGCCAGCTGTAGCATCAAATGACACTGCGACGGCCCAAGTCCCTAGGGACAAGAGCTTAAGTTGGCCTATATTTAGTTGGGTTATATATTTGACCAATCAGAAACAACAATGTCAAGATTCACAGTAGAAGTACAACTCTTTATGAGAGAGTTCGTCCAGTGAAGTACTGCCTCCTAACCTATTTCTGTATCCAAGCAGTAATGTAAGCAATGCTGCGTTCCGGTTTTGAAGGATAAAGGTGCTGGTGAACACACAAGTTACTCTTGTGTGTTCACTGAAAGAACAAAAGAATACGTCCACGTTATTGGCCACCAAATTGAGAATGCTGAGCACGCGTGTCGCTTACCACCAGGTGAACGACTTGTTTGTCCCGTTACTTGGCGTCATAAAAAAAAATCACTGAGGTACAAAAAATGTGCGCATCCATCATCTTTTCCTTCAATACTATTGGGCATTGAACATACTATTGGAGCTCAGGGGGTGACCGCAGATAATGAAAAGAATTGTAGCTTCCAAAGTCCTACACGTAAACTTTACCAATTACTGGCCGTTATAATAATAATAAAATTGATATAATAATAACACACACACTCAACATAGCCCCGCACTAGGGAAACCATGCGTCGCGGGTGCCATGGACACACACATAGACAACCACAAATTACACCCAAATTTACGAAAGAAATAAATGTGGGCCCATTGACTTACAAATAAATGGACGACGGGTCTAATACAAAAACCACGAAAAAAATGTCCCAAGTCAACCTATTCGAAATTTAAATTGTAATGTCATTGCAGTATCGCGCTGTCAGTCGAACAAATGAAGACTAAAGCGGAGTTTGGCGCTCTGTATACGATTTTAGCGTCTTACAAGTGCGGACGCTTTTTAGCGCGGACCCGACGTCCATATAATTGTAAGTCAATGTGTGGGCCATACAAATATTTCTCCCGGGAATCGAACCTTCTCAGGTTTTGCCTTTGCGTGGCAGTCTGGCATGGTAACCGTTCGGCCACGGGGGCAGTTCTCTTTTTAACCGACTTCAAAAAAGGAGGAGGTTCTCAATTCGACTATATGTTTCTTTTCTTGTTTTTTTTTTTGTATGTATGTTACGCGATAACTCCGGTATTTGTGAACAGATTTTCATGATTCCTTTTTTGTTAAAAAGGGGTAAATTCAATAGTGGTCCCATTTCATTTTGAAGAAAATCATCCACCTCGAAGGGTGGCTGTTCACGCATGAAGATTCATTTTTATAAATAGCGCCTAACTTTAATTTAGGAGCAATTACTTTAATGGTTGATTTTGCTATTTCTTCAATTCAAGGCGTTTTTCTCTCCATACACTTTGAGTAGTGAGAACCGATTTTTATTATCTCCAGTGTCAAGTCCTGTATAGTGGCGAATTTAAGGATATTTCAATAATTCCATGTACTTTTGAGGCCGGTTTTTTTAGTACTTTATACTGAGATTATTAATGACACAGATAAGAGAACACAGTTGAACAATATTATTTTTAAATAATAAAATCTGTATTCCAACGACAACTGCATTTGAAAATTGGTAGCAAAAGGTCTTCATATGAAAACGTTCATCCAGGGAAGTACTGCCACCATAATATTAATAATTTCTGCCGCCAAACATTAATATGAGTATTACCTACTGCGTTCCGATTTAGAAAGGTAAGCGTGCTGGTGAAATTACAGGCACATGGGACTTGTCAGCCCATGTCCCAGTATGACAGGCGCAGTAGCAATGACCCTCAAAACTATGCAATTAAAAACTCTGGGTGGCACTGCGAGCAAAGGTAAGCCGTGGCAGGTTTTCATACATCTGTTCACACCGCGAACTAAACTAACCGAGCTAAGTCGCATAGTCGGTTGCATGCAGACTTAGCTTAGTTCCACTTCTTCAATAATAAATTACTAA